AAAATTCAGTGTATTTTGAATACAAATAATAGTGTTTTGTGTGAAGCGATTGAATGCGAAAATAATGATTATTTTTCAATCAATCAAACAATTGATTGCAATTCATGTAAAATCAGTGATAAAATGCTAAACAATTGTCATATCATTACTAAATCTGATGATTATTTTCACTGTTTTTGGCCTAAATGTCAATACAAGACAACAAATAAACACATATATAAAAGACATCAATTAACTCATTTAGAGATAAAACCATTTAAATGTGATTTTAATAATTGTAATCAAAGATTTACTCAATTGGGGAATTTAAATCGACACAAAAATATCATTCATTTAAATGTGAGATTTATTTGTGATTTCAATGAATGCCACAAAAGTTTTACAGAAAAACAGTATTTAGTTCTCCATAAAAGTTGTGTTCATTTAAATGAAAGGAAATTTAAATGCAATGAAGAAATGTGTGGCAAAAGTTTTAACAGAAAATCACTTCTAATTCAACACAAACGCCTGCATTCGAGAGAAAAAGTATTTGCTTGTGATTTCAGTAATTGTAACAAAAGCTTTACTCAATTCAATGGTTTAAATCTACACAAAAATAGATGTCATATAAATATCCGGAAATATAAATGCAATTTAAATGATTGCGGGAAAAGATTTTTTAATAAATCTGAATTAACAAAACATATAAATAATAATCATTTATAATGTTTAGAGATGTAAACCTAAAGTATATAATTATATTTCTGTGTTCAAACAGTTACACGAAAGTCACTTATTTAAAATAAGTTATTTTCCATTTCTAACAATACATATCATTTATTTTTTAATTAGTTTTGCGAATACTGTATTGTAATCTCATTACATGTATAATTACATTATTTCGTAAATACATATGAATTATTATTAATAAAATTATTTAAATATTTATTTATTATTTATTTCAGCTCAACAAATTTCTCTCTCTCTCTCTCTCTCTCTCTCTCTCTCACACACACAAACACACACACACACACTCACTCACTCACTCACTCACTCACTCACTCACTTTTAGTTCACTCTCTATTTATCACACATACAGTATTGGATCAATAGATCCGTAAATGTTATATCAATTGTGCGAGAAAAACAAAAACAGGCATATAAGTCAAAAGTTCATTGTAGTTTTTGTATTTCACAATTGTATACATATATAATTATTCAATTATATATAACCTAAAGCTTCGTGTTTAACTACGGGTTATTAATTTTTTAAAACTTTTTATGTGGCACGTTTTCCATTTATTCATATATGTAGAATAATATTCAAATACAACATTTTTATATGGTGGTTCTACATTGCACGGGTAATGCACCAAACTTTAGGGTAATTTAAATTATAATAATTGGATACATTATGTAATAATAAGTGTATAATACTATATAATTGCATATAATTAATTTGTCTCAGTAAATTATATTTAGAACATTTTCTTAATAATAAATTATTATTAATATTATTATTAATAAAATATAATAAATATTTTCAATTAACCGTAGTATATCCTTTGTTAAAACTATTGTTTTGGATTTAGAGTGGTTTAATTTATTACCTTTTAAATGTATTTTTTGTAGTAAACAACATAATTAGTTTGTAGCAATTTTGTAGAAATATTAAATATTATATTACATTTAATAAATTAACAAAATAAGTTTAGTTGTACTTTTGAGCATAGTAAATTTTTCAAATAGTGAAACGAATTTTAAGTTGAAATGAGCATCTCACATTTTAAACATTTAATTATTTATATATTGAATAATTACAGCATGATCACTTATAAAATATTTACAATAATATTTCGGCTAATTGTTTGGTTTTATTGTATTATTGGCCTAACCTTTAATGGGCTAACTATTGACCGGCATTTTAATATACAGCAAAACAAGCGATTAAAATATTATGGTTATTTTTATTTAATTATTATAATAATTACTAACATTACTTTATATTTCAATATGATATATAAATTTTGTGTTATGAAAATAAATGGGTTTGGTATTGACATGGTACATATTAATATAATATTATTAATTCAAGCATTTTTAATACATACCATGCACATCCTAAATATGTTTGCATTAAATGTTACATTTAAAATAGAAATAACTAAAACTTGTTTCAAAGATATTGATTCACATAAAATAATTATTAAATTTTATTTAGTTTTTATATATTGGATCATTGGCCCAATTATAGTTTTATATTGGTTATTTATGATGTTATATATTTGGCATGACACTATTAATATAATTTCATTGCTTGAATTGTTTTCAATGATTAGCGAATTTTTAATATTTGTCTCGCAATCATGTATTGTTTGGATCATTTCGATTATTTACTCGTACAAACTTGATGCAATATATAACGACATAGTTAATTATAATGAAGGTAAAGTATACTTCAACTTTAAAGAATTATAATTATACAAATTAGCAAAACAATCTCATAAAAACAAATAAATTTTTTACGCTAGATCGATTATTCAAAATACGTTTGAACAAAAACATTTGGACGAAAAATACAGTATTAATTAAAAGTAGAATAACGTATCAAAATATATATAAGCAAATTAGATGCGTTAATAAAATATTTTCATGGTGTTTTATGGTTAAAATTTGCGCTACAATCATAAGCTCGATGTTAGCAATCTATTTGTTATTTATTTCGAATAAATCTATTGAACTACAAAATATATTGAAAGAATTAAGCATGTTAACAGTTTTCAAAATTATCGAGATCGTTGTAACATTTATTTTATGCGATAGTTTGAGTGCAAAACGTAATAAAATGAGTGATGCATTGAATGGTCTGAATGTGAGGGATATGTCGGACAGTGAGTACAGGGAATGGCTTACGTTTACGACTGCTGTTAGAAATA